CTCGTCGTCCGCATTTCGCCGCGCGACGCTGGCCAGGTCCTCGAGTACTACCACCGCCGCAAGGGCGACGCCGCCGAGGGCGACTGGGTCCGCGCGGACGGCGGCGCCGTGTCGCTCGAGATCGAGGTCCCGGGCACGCACGTCTTCGCCGCGCGCTGCGTCGACGCCGAGACGAGCGACGCGGTCACGGAGACGACGACGGCCGTCTTCGAGCACAGCCTGCCCGAGGTCGTCAAGCACGCGGCCCACGACCGCGCCCTCGAGCTGCGGGTCGCGCCGCCGGCGGCCGGCGCGGCCTGCGGCCTCTGCGGCGTCGGGTTGGCGGAGACGTCCTACGCGGACGCGGACGCGGGCTACGCGCTCTGCCCGGACTGCGCGCTGCCGGCGCCGCGCGCCGCGTCGCTCGCGCCCGCGGACCGCTGCTCCGTGTGCCCGCCGGAGCCGGCGCCCGGCGGCGGCCGCGCGTCGGTCCTCGACCGGCCGTCGGTCGCGCCCGCCGACCGGCGCCGGTCGTCCGTGGCGCTCAACGTCGGCGCGAAGCGCCTCTGGCTCTCCGAGGACGTCCAGTTCGCGGGCAACGCCACGGAGATCAAGCCCGAGTCCCTCGAGCTCATCGACCAGCTCGCGGCCGTGCTCACGTCCCACGAGAACGTCGACGGCCTCGTGCTCCAGGGCCACACGAACTCCAAGTGCGGCCTCGACTGCGACGGCACCACGGTCTGCGCCAACGACACGTGCCAGCGCACCTTCGGCGCCTCGGGCGGCGCCGTGGCCTTCTCGCTCTCGCGCGCGGCGGCGGTCAAGGCCGCGCTCGTCGCCCGCGGCGTCGACGCGGGCCGCATCGACTGCGAGGGCATGGCGGGCTCGCGCCGCTGCGTCGACGACACGGAGTCCGCGGACAACTACCTCAACCGCCGCGTCGAGATCCACCTCGACGACCTCTGAGGCGGGCGCCAAGAAGACCAAGCACCCCGCGGGGGGACCAAGCCCCTCGCACGACGCGCCCCGCCGAGACCCCAAGTGTAAGTATCGGCTGCTTTGCGTCGTGGGGACTGTAGGATTTACTCACATGTACGGGCCCCTGCGCGACGGTCCGGCCCCGGGACGGGGGGA